AATTATCAGTAGCTACCTACGTGGGAAAGAGGTTTGCACAGTTCCCAGTACGGCCAAGGGCTATCAGTGTAAAGTATTCCAGGCCAATCAATGTGCAACAATGTGTGTGACACTGCCATCAGATTTGGTTACAATGATCGGGTGAACATTTCACACTTCGCCTAGAGCTGAAGGGGTTCTCATCTCTCATGGTTCACGGTTTAACAACACCAGCAATTTCCCCAGCCAGAGACCTGTGCCAGGAGAAACCCCCAGCTGTTTTTTCAGATATAATGATTATATAAATATATATAAATATATTGCTCGGTGATTACCTGTCATTATTCACAAGTAACGGTGTCCATGGGCCTGTCATTATCTGTTAGACACGGAGAAGATCTGCTAGAGTATGTGTGAGCATTGTTAGCGCTCATAAGCTCGGCATGAGTGGCGCTTGAGATAATCTGCTGTCGAGAGAATGTGCCCGAAGCAGATCCGGATGCAAAGTCCTATATGGGCTATGAGTCTCAGCGAGAGCGTGTCCAATGGTCCACATACATGGGCAGTAACGGAACGAGTTGGATCACTCGATGCCAGGAAAGACGAGAAGTCAACGTCATCTTGTACATCATCAGCCTCTCTAATACCCACATAGCAACATTGGAAGAAGACTTACTGCGCTGCTCCGAGCCCATAGGAATAATGTAGCCTATGGTGAACTCTGGAAGGTGGACGAAGGTGGACGTTGGCAGAAACCGAGTCGCGGCGGGCAAAGAAAATGGCGCGAGCAGCGGGACACACTTTCTCACGCACGCCCCGGGGTCGCGTCTGTGGACGCGACAAGATGGGTGCAAAGCATTGAGATGAATAGGTTAAGCGAGTGCCCGGGATGGGCCAGCCCAGTGCGTAAATTACCACTCTACACCCCAAGCCCCAAGGTGAACCCAAGGTTGACGTGTACCAACCTCTTTAACAATAGTATCAACACCTCATATAAGCTCACACCATAGCATAGACCCTCAGTGAGAACAGACGCAGTGCTTTCCAGATGTAAGCCTACTACGAACCATGTTTGCTGGCATGATGGTGGTAGGAAGCAAGGAGAACTCCTACCAGTTGTTCGAACACGTCGGTGATCCCACGAGCGTGTGATGACCGAATTCCAGAAGCACTGGGCGCTTATTGACATCTGGACAGATGAGCGCGTGCCAAACAGGACATCGCTTGAGCACAAAAGTACAGATATACGAGTGTATCGTATTGATATAGTATACTATAGTATACCGGTTGTATCTCAGTTGTATCCATCAAGCATACCAGGATCAGTTTTTGAGAACGAGGAGTAGAGTACAAGCAGGGAATTGAATTGAACTGAACGTAGCACAGTGTAGTACAAAGCACACCCAATACTAAAGAATGTCATCAACGGGATGAAAGAGTACGTTGTACGTGCGAGCAGGAAGAGCAGCTCTCGAGCGCATACCGCGCCCTGAAGTAGCGGTGTCAACACCAGGAACAGGATTAGCCAGAAGGATCTCGGTCTGAGTGCGCTTGCGAACTGATGAAGGCAATGATACCACTCCAGCACTGATGGCTATAGGCGCTACCTGGACCTTTGCAATCTTAGCAACTGCCCAAGCCTTCGGGTATACCATGCGGAATGCGCGGTGAGCGCATTCACGAATGGCATTCTCGGTGGCATCAAGAGCTGTCTGCGTCTTCTCCGAGCGGCATCTTGAAATGCTCTGACCTTGACAATGGCCTGCGTGGTGGCCTTGAGCGCAGTTTTATAGGGAACGGACATGACGACAGCGCCTCTCGATGGATATACGCTATGCCAGTTTCAGATAACAATCATAGACAGGATATATGAAGCAAGCGCTTACTAGAACCCCTTGCCGCTTTTCCTCCTCACGATCATGCCAACTCCGCAGTATTCAAGCGGACCGATTGCGACATCCTTGGTTCCGAGAACTTCGAGCCTGAAGATACGCTTGGTACGCTCGAGGCCAACGACCAACTTGAAGTTCGCCCTGTGCTTGCAGACACTGTTTGTCAGGCCATGTAAGTATGAGGTCCGGTATCGCAGCGCAGTACTCTCACAAGACTGTCCAAATCTTGTCTTTGGCGACCGCATAAAGCTTGGTAGAAAGCATGCGCTTTCTCATCTCCGAGCTTGGCAGAAAGAGGGTGACAAAGTCGTTCTCTCTGAGGCAGGCCTTGGACGGAACGATTACTTTGACAGTCACTTCAGCACATATCCGATACATAGGTTACAGAGTGGACATACATTTCGCTTCGCTCATAGACCGAAATGCTGCGAGAAGCGGGTTGTCGATCCATGTTTCAGTACCATCCAGTTCATTGTCGAATAGCTTGCAGCCTTCGAGATGTCCAAATAGTACTGGAACAAGCTCAGGAGCGTGCCGGATGGCATCCTTGAGAAGCGTTGGCTCGAAGGCGTCAAGGTTTTCCAAGTTCTTGTCCTATGAGCGCATGTTAGGCTATTCCTAGTCAAGGGAAGAGATGAAGAGCGCACCTTCTTCGCCAGGTTATATGTGTTCACTGCGTCGTAATGACGTATGGTTGTGTAACACACATCCTTAGCCCACACATGGAGATAGTCGGCGTACTTGAGGCGTTGGGAACTGCGCGGTGCCAATATGTTGTTATGAATACATGCGCGAACCAATTCGACCCTAAACATGGACCAATAAGTATAGATATCGAAGGTATGAAGCACAGTACACACATACCATATCCGATAGCGAGCCACAAACAGGAATTGATAGAGTGCGAGCAGGTAGCGGCAGACACGAGACGGGCTTCGAAGCAAATCCCCTAGTGATATATCCGTGGGCAGACCTAAAGAGAAGAACTTCAACCAAACATGTAAACAAGAGCAAAAGAGCGCACTCACCAGCTAGGTGCATGACCTCAGCCACACTATATGCACCAACCCCCGGATTGTACATTGTATTCTTGGGGTCAGTGAGCCAATTGCGAAGCGAACCCGTCAGGCCTTTCGATTTGGTCTTCTTCGTAACGGTCTCCTGAATGAGTGTCGCCCAGAGTGAGACGAACTCCGGCCACTGGTCGAGAACGCTGAAGTCACGATGCGCTAAGCCCTTCACAGGGTCATTACGCTCGCGAGCCCATGCCCAAGTCACCTGGGTGGGAATCATTGTTAGATACGCAGATATGGTCCCGCTGCGAGTACTTGTCACGCACCTGAAAGAGGAAATCCAAGGTGTTGAAGGATATGACGTGGTCACCGACCTGGAATGCAAGGGCGCACTTGAAAGTACGCATCTGTACAAGTAGTTAGGCTAACGGGCAAGTCAACAACCATTGTAAGACACCGCACCTTGGACTCAGGATGCTTTCCGATAAGCGGCAGGTGCGACGTCCTGTATACAGCTTCCCAGTTTGCAGCGTCATATATCTGTATGTTCGTATGGGTGAGTGGCTGGACCTTGTTTTGGTCAGAAGATAGTCAACAAGCTATAACGAGTGGCGTACCTGGCACAGCAGATCACCAAATACCAAGACGATGCTGCGGCCAGTATGTTCGATCCCAGTAAGCTCCAGTTTGGCGTCCAGAAGATCCTCGAAAGAGTTGAACATTTGATGTGGAAATACGGGCTTCTGGATAGATTTCGAGCCACGCTTAATATCCATAGCACAAGCGAGACTATCAATGAAGCCGCGCTTCAAGCGCTGAGAACCAGTTGTATTGCGCTCATCTTTGGTAATGTCGACGAAGATGTTCCGAAGTCGGGGATCCCAGCCAGGTTTTGACTTCTCAGTTTGAAGAAAGCCATCTGCCTGCAGATACTGGAACTCAAGCTCTCGAGCCTCGGGCATGAGAATGCAAAATGGAGGTGGAGGAAAGGAAGAACGAACGAACGAACGAGGAGAAGTCGCGACTCTGAACGAAGAACGAAACCGCGGTCATGTGATCGTTCTGCGCGCACCCGGGCTGGCCGTTCTGAGCCGCAGGCTATCTTTTTAAAGAGAGTTGGTATCCATTTAATTCAAGTACAATAGGTCACGGCACCATACAGAAGAATATATTCCGGTGCCAGAACTCGCTCCTGTGCAAAACTCGTACGCGAACCGCGCAGGCTGCAGCTGCGAGGCAAGTCGCGCCCAAGCGCGTGAGAAGGCCGCGCGCTGCCACACTGCCAGGTTCTCCACGTCTTCCTCGTCGCAACCACTACCGTCTTTGTATGCCATCTTTGTAATGAGACTTGCTGCTACAAGTCTAACCGGCCGGAACAGCAGTGCGGAGACCCCGGCTCTCTCACATGCAGGTGGCCGCACTTCTCTTCTCGATCTGCTGCCCGCGCTGCCGCGGCGCGCCATTGCTGCCCTTGACTGCGACTTCAACAAGGTATCCTGTGCACAGCCGCCTTTCAATTCTACACCATGTGAAGCACACCATGGCTCCTCGCACTCATTGCGGGAGCAAACCGGACAAGTGCTCCTCAGTGCGCCTCGGTGTTATCCTCGGTCTCATCTTCATCTGGAAGATCGGTCTCTTCGGTCGGTCTTGCGTGCATCCCGCTTCTCATGTCTACCGGCTACATTCATCTGCGCGTCTGCGCGTCGTTGTCCTGCGTCGTTGCCCTCAAGGACCAGCACAACAAGAAGGCCCACGAGGAGAGTGCCCAGCTCGCTTGCGAGGACTGCCTTCGTCTGTACTCCGAGTCGCTCAAGGCCCCGCTCAAGGAGAGCAACCGAACGCGCTCTACGCTTTGTCGCAGTTGTTCACGTTCTTCGTCATCGCCTTGGTCTTCTGGTACGGTGCCCGCCTCGTCTCTTTCGGCGAGTTCACTA